GAGCGGAGTAGTGGCAAGTTCTCCAGGAGGTTTAGGTTGCCGGAGAATGTGAGAATGGATCAAGTTAAGGTTTCCATGGAAAATGGGGTTCTTACTGTTACTGTTCCCAAGGTGGAAGTGAAGAAACCTGATGTCAAAGCCATTGAGATTTCTGATTAAAAACCTGAAGGGCTTAAAGGGTTTTGTTGTTATTACATACTTTGTCTGTCTGCTTGTATTTTCAAGTTTGAGAGGTCTTTAAAAAGAATAAACATGGTGGGATTGATGTTATAGTTAAATTTTGGTTTGTAATATTATAATATTACAGAGTTTTTATCAATAATGTAAAATTGCTGGTATTAGTGTAACTGTTCCTTCGTTTTATTCACTTTGGCCTTGCTGGATTCAGTTGCTCTATTTAAATAATGTATTTTAACCATTAAAAAATCATTTTAAGAGGACATGTTGGGTATATGGAAGAAGGTGAAGAACAATCAAGTACTTTCTCATACTTGTGTTTTGGGCCTCAAGAGAACTTTGACTTCTTCCTCAACTCATCAATGTTTGAGAACTTGCTTGAGTGGTCTGGACTTTTTTGCAATTAAATTGACTTCAAGTTGAAATGGGCTGCACTTAGTTTTCTCCGTTCGGCCTCATTTCAACAGCACTAGAAAGTAGTCCAGATCATCAAGTTAATTCACTAACATTCGCGAACCACCAGATTTCATGCTCAAAGGAAAAGTTCGAGAGCATACTGCATTCCCCTTCAGCTTGTTTAAATATCCAACATGTCCAGCCTTAGTAGCATAAGAAAAGACAGAATTGGATTCGTGGAAATAATCAGCAATCAAACACTTAAATTCTCGCTAACGCAACTTTGTTGACCATTGTTTCACAGTTTTAGAGAAATGGCGATGATTTCCAGTTTCTTTGGCAATCGAAGGAGCAGCGTCTTCGATCGATTCTCTCTTGATGTTTGGGATCCTTTCAAGGACTTCCCTTTCCCGTCTTCACTCACAGCGAATACATCTGAAACCTCAGCTTTTGCCAATACCTGAATCGACTGGAAGGAAACCAGTGACGCTCACGTCTTCAAGGCTGATCTTCCAGGGCTCAAGAAAGAAGAGGTGAAAGTTGAGATTGAAGATGACATGGTGCTTCGAATCAGCGGAGAAAGGAAAATAGAAAAGGAAGACAAGAACGATACCTGGCACCGCGTGGAGCGGAGTAGTGGCAAGTTTTCAAGGAGGTTTAGTTTGCCGGAGAATGTGAAGATGGAGCAAGTTAAGGCTTCCATGGAAAATGGGTTTCTTACTGTTACTGTTCCCAAGGTGAAAGTGAAGAAACCTGATGTCAAAACCATTGAGATTTCTGATTAAAAACCTGAAGGTTTTAAAGGTTTTGTTGTTATTACATACTTTGTCTGTCTGCTTGTATTTTCAAGTTTGAGAGGTCTTTAAAAAGAATAAACATGGTGGGATTGATGTTATAGTTAAATTTTGGTTTGTAATATTATAATATTACAGAGTTTTTATCAATAATGTAAAATTGCTGGTATTAATGTAACTGTTCCTTCGTTTTATTCACTTTGCTCGTTCTGGATTCAGCTGCTCTGTCGAAATCATCTATTTTAACCATTTCAAATTCATTTTAGTGAGACATTCAAGATTAGAGAATGCTTCTATTTTCTATGATGCAATCTTGGCATATATGTTGCAAGGACGACGCTACTGTTGGCCTTAGTTTATCAATTGGCTGTAAATTTTTTGCTTTCCACAATTGGTTCTTTGTCAAAATGATGGAAAAACTTTCATATGTCATAGGAAGTTATGAAGAAAAAAAAAAAAACAGAAACTTCGTCAAAAAGTGTTTAATACTAACTGTTTTATGCTTTCATTTCTTATCTGTGCTTAGAAGTCCAGATTTGCTTATTGACTTCAAAAGCAGTGAAATACTCCCTAAATTCCTTCAACAATAATATTTTATACAGGCACTTAAGACTGTTCTTAAATTCCAAACAACTCTATGTATTTCCTTTTTCTTTCTTTTGGATAATCTAAATACCGTTATGGACTTCATAACTGTCGTAACACATTTATAATATCATCTTCAAAGCTTGCAGGGACACATAAATCCAATTTCAGGGACTGGGTTGAATGGTGTTGGTTCCATGTCGAGCTCAAGGACGCATGAAATTAATCCACTGCTTCAGCTCGGTACCCTTCTTCGTGCCAATGGCTTCTCAATTACATTTGCAAACACTAAATTCAACTCTCCTAAACCAGCCAATCACCCTGATTTTACATTTCCATCAATATCAGATGCCTGTTTGATCGAAACGCCTCCTCCATGGATATAACTGATGTCATATCATGTCTTAACACGAGCCGCAAAGCCCCACTCTAGAATTCACTAACCCAGAGTATTGAAAGGGAGGAGGAAGATCATACTAGTAAGCTCCCATGTATTGATTATGATGGATCCATGTCTTTACATAAGCTGTGGCACATGAACTGGAGCTGCAAAGCAACATGCTGGGAACCACTAGTGCTGCCACTCCCACTCCGCTCACATACTATTCATTTCCACTACTCCAGAAAGAAGGTTATATTCCATGGCAAGGTATATTTTCTTAACATTTGTGTTGCTCTTCAATAATAGAGATATAGTTGATACGTTAAAATCTTCATTGTCTATACTCGATACAGACGCCATGTTATTGGCCTTGGTGCCTGGAGTACATCCCCTCAGGTTCAAGGATCTGCCCATAGCCAATTTCGATCATCTTCAGCAGTCATTTGCAATTCTATAGCCTGCCTTAAACGGTCATTATTGGCACAGTTACAACGGCAGTGCAAAGTTCCTGTCTTTCCTATAAGCCCTCTCCATTTCTATTGTTCCAATTGCCAATAGCATTTTACTAAAAGAGGATAGAAGCTGTATAGAATGGCTCGACGAGCAGACCCATAACTCATTTTTAGGAAGCACAGCTTCCATGAATCAGAACGAGAGAAGGGAAAGAGCTAAAGGGCTGAGTAACAGCAGACTGCCTTCCTTATAGGTGCTCAGGCCAGGTTCATTATTGCCTAAAGATATCAATGAAATTATTGGTGAAAGTGGCTTAATTTTGAAATGGACTCCACAAAAGGATGTATTGGCACATAAAATAATAGGACGATTTTCGATCCATTGTGGCTGGAACTCAACCCTGGAAAGTGTTACAGTTGCAATGATAATCAATTAAAATGTGTTATTTCATATCTAATAAATTTTTAATATTTTGTAATCTTACATTTATGTTGGATTAATTAAGTTACTGCTAATTGAATTTAAATTGAATATTTAATATAGTATCAAAGTTAATTGCATCACCAATCGTCTCCGTAAATAATATCAAAGCCAATATCACAAGTTCATATGTCCCTTCCTCAAGCAATTGCTTTTGGAAGGGTTTGTCGCATTTAAAGTCCTAACTTCTAAGGTCTTAAAAGTAAAAAATAGTATTAGAACCAAGATATAAGCCTTATAGGGCAAGAAAATTGATAATATGCGTCTTCCTAACAATAATTACTTTTGGGAGAGTTGGTGGTATGCATACAACAAATAATTGGTAGCGTTGAAGTCGTAAAAGTAATATTAGAGCAAAGATTTTCTTCTGATATCCTTTTTAAATCTATCAAAGTCAGAATTTTTTTTTGTTATTTTTTGGATGCCATGGTCACTTGTGTGTGCTAAATATATTATTATAAGATTAGGGTATGTCTCTTTTGAAAGTAATTGCTATTGAAATAGTGAGAGAGTTAGTAGCACTTTAGGTTTTAAAAGTGAAAAAAAAAAATCAAAACTAAGATATAAGCGTATATAAGGCTAAGGTACATGCCTTGGTAGCGTGTGAAAGTGGTATCAGGCCAAAAAATATTTCTATTGCTTTTTTAAAATTTGTTAGAGCCAGATTTTTTTTTTGTTTTTTCTTCAAATCTATTACGTGATATATTTTTTTTATTATTTTTTTCAAATTTGTCACGTGATAGATTTTTTTTAACTCCATCTACAGCAATTGCTTTTAAGAGAATTGGTAACGTTTGAGGTTATAAAAATGGTATCAGAGTTAGGATTTTCTTCTATTATCCTTTCTAAATTTGTCATGCCAAATCAGAATTTTTTTCTGTTGCCTTTATAAATTTTGTTAGAGTCAAGATTTTATTCTGTTACTTTTTCCAAATCTATCAGGCCAAAATTGTTATGTGATAGCTTTCTTTTGTTATTTTTTTCAAATCTGTTATGTAATAGATTTTTTTTTTTATCTCTGCATGTAGCAATTATTTTTGGAATAGTTGGCAACAAAGTCAAAAAAAATTTTTTGTTATTTTTTGTAAATTTGTTAGAGCCTAAGATTTTTTTTGTTATCTTCTCCAAATATATCACATGACAATTTTTTTTTATTTTCACCTAAATATGATGGAAACCAGTTAAAATTATTATCTCATATATAATAAATTTTTGATGATTTTATATTCAAATTGAATTTTTTCACTTATTATCAATTGATTTTAAATTAAATGGTTAATAATATCAACATGTTTTGGGATCAAAGGGTAAATCCAAGAAGTTTGTTTTCTTATATTTTTGTCCTAGGCTTTTGAGCATTAACCCAATGTGCTTTCCCTTTGCTTCAGATTGAAACTCGCCATTATTATAATCAGACAACAATTAATTACTGCAATGAAAACATTATTAAGAACAACTCCCAATTTCATTACTAGAATTCTGATTACATTCTTAAACATTTGAACCAGTAATTATATAATCTACTGATAATTTCCAATTCCTTAAAACATATTTCTAGGATATTTCATATTCTACTGACAACTTCCGACATTAACTGCGACCACCAATTCCTTAAAACATATTTATAGGATTTTTCATGTTTAAGGCACTTAAAACTTCAATCAGACATTTGAATGGTGAATGGTCTTGAAATTAGGCTTTTCCACTTCAACTTTAGGAACAGTGACGGTGAGATCCCCATTTTCCATAGAAGCTTTAACTTGATCCATCTTCACCTTCTTCATAAAGCTAAACCTCCTCGAGAACTTGCCGCTTCTCCGCTTCATGAGAAGCCTTATGTCATTCTTGTCCTTCTCAACATTCCTCTCCCCGCTGATATGAAGCACCGTGTTATCTTCAATCTCCACTTTCACTTCCTCCTTCGTCATGTCTAGATAGTAGATCGTGAACACATGGGCTTCCGGGGTCTCCTTCCAGTCAACACGAGCGTTGACAAAATCGGAGTTCTCTTGAGAGAGTGATGGGAAATTCTCGAAGGGATCCCATAGATCTACAGAGAATGAATCAAAGTTATTGCCTTGTCGGTTCATCCATACATCTACAGAGAATGAATCCACTTCAACTTTAGGAACAGTGACGGTGAGATCCCCATTTTCCATAGAAGCTTTAACTTGATCCATCTTCACCTTCTCCTTGAAGCTAAACCTCCTCGAGAACTTGCCACTTCTCCGCTTCATGAGAAGCCTTATGTCATTCTTGTCCTTCTCAACATTCCTCTCACCGCTGATATGAAGCACCCTGTTATCTTCAATCTCCACTTTCACTTCCTCCTTCGTCATGTCTAGATAGTAGATCGTGAACACATGGGCTTCCGGGGTCTCCTTCCAGTTAACACGAGCGTTGACAAAATCGGAGTTCTCTTGGGAGAGTGATGGGAAATTCTTGAAGGGATCCCATACATCTGCAGAGAATGAATCAAAGTTATTGCCTTGTCGGTTGACGAAGAAAATTGGAATCAGAGACATTTTCTTTTCAATTTCTTGGAACTGCTTTGACGGCTGGTGTTTTGAGAATTAAAACCTACTTCTTGTATTTCTTGTTTGGTGAAAGTGGGATAGGGTTGCGTATTTAAAGGATTCGAAGGAAGATTCTAGTACTTTCCAGGGCAATCAATTTTGGGTCTCGATGGATGACGTTTCTATTTTGTAGTAAACTCAAGGGCCTTTCAAGCTTCTCTTGCTGAACCTGGATGCAAGGATTTTCTTTCTGATTAAGCCTTCGAATGGGCCGAGCCTTGTCCTTCATTGACTTCTACTGGTCTCTCTGTTGGGTATTTTTTTCCTCTTTTTTATTGCAATTTCCAAGGTCAAAAAGTCTAATTTTTAGGTTTCTTTTAATTTAATGGTAAATTAATTGAATTGTGCTCATTCCACATGCATTGATTTCTCATTGGCAATGTCAACAACAACTTCAATAGAAGCAGCCAAAGCTTAAGCTATTGCCAAGGGGGTAAAAAATTGATTATGATCTTTCAGCGGCTCGAGTGGACTTACCTCCCCTAAAAACTGTGGAACCAACACTGCCTTAGTTGAATCGGGTAATTGTCTAACCGTACCAAACACCAACACTTCTTCAAATTGATAAATTACGATGGATAATCTGATTTATGATTATTGGAGACCACAATGGGATTCTTTTTTTCTGGGGCCCCCTTTCTTAGCCTGTGGCTGGGTGACAGTGAGCACGCCCATGTCGATTGCGGCTCTTTGTTTGTCCCGCATTAACATTTGCTGGTTAATGGCCAGGGCAAGCTCTTAATGTAATCTCTGATCTTCTACCTTGACTTCTTCACTCCTCAAGCGTGCACTGGCGCAATAAGCACGGTGCTGCTTCTTGCCATACATCTACAAGTTGAGCAAAGTTGAAGGATCTATGCAATATTACCCCATTTAAAATGCAAGCAAAATAAGTCACAATAGTTGGATAAAATAACTAACATTTGTACACTAACAGTCATCTGATGCACATAATCAGTTTCTCCCAGTTAAGAAATCAGATGATAAAGGTGAGAACAATGTTCAATTAAAGCATAGCCTTTTTAATGTGTTAGAGGCATGATTTTCAACAGAACAGTGTCAGTGATGGGCCTAATGGTTATGAAATTGGAAATGGTATTGGGTGAATATGTTTCCTCTCCACTTGCTAATTGAACCTCATGAAAAAAAACCCAAAGAACACCAGAACTTTTAAAAGCCAAATTTAGAAGCCATAGTTACAGTGTCCAAACCTGAACGGCATTTCCCCTGGTTAAAAGACAAAAACACTATCCAAGTACAGAGCAAAACCTACTCTTTGAAAATTTTGTCATTCCCGTGCTCTTTCTTTCTTAGTACAGATTCACGTGTTTCGGACATGGATGGTCTTCATGAAACGAGATATGATCTTTGGTTGGTAGAGGGTGAAAGTGAAGGTTTTTCCAATTGGAATAGCCATAGAGTCGCTATCAAATCATTATTGTATATACTCCCATATTGGTTTAGCAAAAAAAAAAAAAAAATTTGACCAATTCTCTGTCTCTAGTTTTTAACAGGTTTTGGACAATTTTACGATACTAACACGAAATGTTTAGCCAGCAGCAGCATACCTTTTCATGCCTTTGGGGGTTATATAATCCCAAGTTACTCTTATTTGACAAGCTAGCTGTATTCCAGTATGACTTTCATGAAGCTTAATTTCCATGGAAAAATGTACTTCGAAGATCTTCTTGATTTCCCTTCTGGTACACAATTCCCATTTCTTCTCTGTTGCAGGCACAGAAAGGAAAGGGTCATACGCTGAAGGCCTTAGGCTGAAAATGTTGAATAGTAAATTACTACGTACTAATTATTTTGTGTTTGTTTGATGGGTTTCCACTCTCCAGGAAAATGAAATATCATGGTAGTAATATTCAGCCGTACAAATGGCGATGACCATTGTCTTTTCCACACTGTTTCTCCTCCTCAAAATAAACAGTTAAAAAAAGTTTTTACCTGGTGAAAAATCACCCTGCCTCGATTTTCCAACTCATGGACCACTGTCTGTCAGTGATTTTCTTTTCAAAGGTGGCCTGACATTTTTCACAGATTGACATGAACACGATCATCAGCAATCAGAAAATCTGGAATCACACTCAACAACAATCCCAACCAAAATCATCCAAGGATCGCTCTAATGTAGCTTTAAATATACCATTAATACAATATAATAAACAAAAAAGTTTCTTTTTTCCTTTGGCTTTGTTTAAAAACTTTAAAAAAATCACACAGTAATGATGAAATTTACACACTTTTCCTTAACAAAATAACTTCAAGGTTTCCATCAAAGCTAGCAAGAAATTTTCCTTCCATTGTACAATCAAATTTTGATCTATTCCTCCTTCACTTCAAGCATCAAAGAATATAAAAGCCAAGTCAATCATCTCCACAACATAAAAACAAAGAAGATAGAATTATCGGTGACGTTAATATCCCAGAAATTCCAAATCTGCTGAAGCAATGGAAGATAAGGTCGCAGGTTTCTCAGTAGCTGGAATTTCCAAACTTTTTTGTTTTTATTTGTTTGGATTATCAACTTTTAGGAGGTTTTCATATTCATAATAATTTAATGTTGAATAATATATATTGTTAAATAATTGAGTTTTCTGTCTAGTTGAAGGTCTTTCATGAATAATTTGCCTAATTTTTTTAAAAAATTTTGATTGTTTAATTTATGTTAAAATTTTAAATTATATATATATATATATATATATTTTTTTTTTTTCGTATCATTTTATATTATTCTTAAAATTGTCACGTCCACTAATTTTTTTTTCAAAACATTTTTAGAACACATTCCTAATATCTGTTTAGTACATTTAAGATTTTATTTTCGTAATTTTTTTCACAAAAATTAGTTTTTGATAGACAAAAAATCAACAAAAAAAGAAAAAAATCCTATAAAAATTCGATAATGTAATCAAATTGACACTTATTTCCACATCTTTAATTTGTATACTTTAAGCTTAATATCTTTTTACATTTATTTTATAGAAAAATAAAAGCTTAAAAGATTTAGAAGTTCTTATCATAATCCCTCCAATTGGAAGTATCGATGCATGAACCCATGAATCGTAAATTTGTTAGAAAATTTTGAGCATTACCATGTTTTGGACCAAAAATAAAGGATTCTGCCATTATGCATATGGGTGCAGAAAACTATGGCTAAATGCGCATATAACCAGATTAAAAAAAAAAGGATTTTTTTTTAATATTTGAAATATATATATATATATTTTCAAAGAACACGATGATTAAAGTTTAGGATTTTATTTTCGAGTTACCAATTTTGGATGGATATATTAGTTTTATGAGACACAAAAAATTTTCTCTCATCATAAAACCTAATATCACTTATTAAATCTCGAGTTTTTTACAATTTTATATTTAAATTGAGTTTTTTACGTTTATTATCAATCGATTTTAAATTAGATATTTAATATCACATTAAATCTCAAATTTTTTTTTTTACTTGTTACCACTTAACTCAAGATGCACCTATTTATTTTCGAGCTATGTATGATGAGAGCATATTAAATTATTTAATCATAAAGATTAAAAAAAGCAATGCAAGACTTACCAAAAATATTACAAAGTTTACAAAAAAAAAAAACTATAAAGATTACCAAAATTTTTTCAATGGAAACTAAAATTATTACATAGGTTAACACAAACATTACAGAAGTTATCAGAATTCTTAAAAGGATTACTAATTAACACACTACAAAGATTGTCAAATCACTCAATATTATCAAAATTCTTACAAATAATACGAAAACACTATAAGTTTATTAAAAATCATTATTAAATTCAAAGACTGATAAAAAGAAAAAAGGATGGCAAAAAGGAGTAAAAGACAAAAACAGGTACTATAAAGAGAACAATATCATGTCAGTTAATCATGTTTTGATTGCTTTGTAACAAGTAATTTTGAAATTAATAGTATCAATCATACTGCAAAATTTTCTTGGATCTACCTAATAATAATTACCAATCAACATTAATCTTTAAACCCTTCTCTTTTCCTTTATTTCTTTTCAATTCTGTTCTCATTGTCCTTGTATATTCCTTTTTCACTTGTCCTTTTCTTTGGACTGAAATTTTCAGGATTGGAATGGCGCGGGCTCAAAGCATGCCACCTTTTTCTTTTTTCGTGTAAGTGATCATATTTTGGGTGAATAAAGGGTTTGAAATTTTTTTTTATTATCGTATTTGATAATCATTTTAAATTTTAATTAATTTAAAAATAAATAAAATAAATAAAATTTTTTAACGTCTGCTTTATAAATTTACAAAATTTAAAATAAAATTTTAAAAAATATCAAATTTTTTAATCACTCAAACCAATATTCGTTAGTATTTAAACTTATTGTTAACACAAAAAATAAAAGGTTTTTTTTTTTTTTACAATGTAACGCGATCATAATTGAATTTTATGATTAAAGTTTTAAAAGTTTTAAAAATAAAAAATTATATATTTATAATTTTTATAAAACGATGAAAAATATTTTTAAATTTTACTTGAATTTAATTTTCGTTTATTTATCAATAATGGACCATGCCACAAAATTACATTTAATCTAGAGTGGACCCTCCACGTTGATCAAACGTTATGAAAATAAGTAACAAACCCTCTGGAGTAGGGACCACCCAAACATAAACTTCCCGTCCCGCGTTTTTCTGATCTGATGTGACCACGTTGATTTAATCCTTTCTCTTAAATGTTCCATTCTCAACCGTCCGATCAAAAACTATCGTTTACGTAAGGAATTGTACAATGCCCTCTCCTCCCAACTCCCTCTCTCTCTCACGCACAAACACACACTTCGACATTTTTTTCAGAGCTTTTCTTGATCACTCTCGCCCGCTGCCAGCTTTGAGCTCTGGACTTTCCAAGAAGTAAAGTTTTTTTTCTTTCACTGTCCAAAGCGCGGCGGATACGTGGTTCTTCTTCCCCCAGGCTTTCGTTTTTTCCGTTACTGACCGCCGTTTCATTCTGCATTACCTGTACTCAGGCTGGTATGTTTCTTTCTCTCTCTCGAGAAAGTATTTTCTGCTTAGTTCTCTGGAAAATTTTGAATGCTGGTGACACTAACAATCATTTCTTTTCCTTTCCTTTTCTTTTAACTTTTCAAAAAAAAAAAAATTCTAATTAGCATTAGACACTGTTTGGAATTTGGATTCCGGAAAGAGAAAAAAGATGAAATCAATATTTTTTATGAAGTAAATTTTAGTTTTATTCTTTTTTCTTTTTTAATTTTGTTTAATTACCAAACGAATTTTGAAAAATCTTTGAGCCTGTTCATTTGTACCTTATCTGAATAATTACTTTCGGTCTCTTTTGTTTCATTTTTTCTGATGGACCACTCACCCTCGATTCTTTGCAAACAATACATCAACATTCTCTGGTTTGATTTTTTCATTTTTCAACTTTGTCTTCACCACTTTGTGTCAATTTGTCAACCTTGAGCTCTGAAAAAGTTGAGAATTTTCGTTTTCTTTTAAAGATTTTGGCACCCATTAGTGGAAATTGTTCACTGGAGCTCTATGGCAATAAATTTGTTAGTTTTGGAGATGATTTGAGCTGTGTTAATTGTGAATTAGTACTCAATACATTTTGAAGAAAAAAATGCATGGCTCTTATTGAATAGTTAGAAAAGAAATTGCTGCTTATCGGTGATATGTTAACAACTTCATCATTGATAAAGAGAATCAATGCATGTTGCTTTAGGAGTTGTGTTCTCTTGGTTGCTCCAGTTACTGAACCTTAGGCTCTTATATGTTCCGAGAACCTTATGCCACTATGCATGTGACACACTTGTTTTTTTTTTTTTTTTTTCAATTTCATATGATTGTAATATTTGTATTCTAATGTTTGTTTTTATCTCCAGAGCTGCCTGCATCATTGTAAATCGAGTAAAAAATGTGCAGCTGAAAAGGATCTGTAGGGATTAAGACCTATCCAGTCTATGGATTTCCAGTTAGAGCTCGAAAGGGATTCAAGAGATTAACCCTTTGGAACTTCTGTAAAGACCATGTTGCCCCAAGCAAGCCAGAGGGCAAATATGCAAGGCTGGTTTAAACCTGAAGAGACTAATTTGTCATATGCTGATCTTCATCAAGAAATTACAAAAGGTGGAAAAAAGGTCTCACCTGAATCGTCCTGGAAGCATAAAAAACAACATGCTGATATCAAGGCAAAGGAAGAAGATGAGCTTGTGAAGTACATGTCAAATTTACCAAGCTATCTGGAGAGAAGAGCAAACCCCCAAGAAAAAGTTTTAAATATTGGGGTCCTTGATTGGGGGCGTCTTGAAAAATGGCAATGTAGCCATAAACAGATCTTACATGGGAGTAGTATCTCTTCACTGTCCAGCAGCAACACATCTTTGTCGTTTTCTACAGAAGAATCTTCAGCTCATTCGAGCGGAGGTCACGGTTGCTCTCTTGCTCGTCAAAGGTTACAACATCCTTCGCCGCAATCTCATCTGACGTCAGTCCCCGTAGAAGGCCATTTGCCTTTTGTCAAACCTTTTAGGGAAACTGTTGGAAAGTTTCAAGATCTCGAGGCTGCCCAGAGCAACACCTTCATTGTTCAGAGAAAATTCATCGGAGAAGATAAATCTTTTTACAAAAATAATCTACAAATCAAGTTGGAACAGTGCAAGAGAAAAGAAATGCACCCAAAGATTGATTCAACAATTGGCACTGTGCCAAATGGGGTAAAAGATAATTTGGCATCTTGTGACAAGGTGAAGATGAAGAACCAAGTTGGTGAATTTATGAAGAAAGCTGAGAAGTTCCAAGAAGTTATTCCAAAAGGGACAAACCAAGATGTCACTGAAAAAGGAAACACAGTTGCCCTCCTTTTGCCAAGAGATTTGCCCAATACGAATAATTCGGGAGCATGTAATCTTTCTGATTTAACAACAAATTCAAATAAAAAAGAAGCGGAACCTAGTCAGAGGACCTTCCCGGAAACATCTAAAGAGGCTCACCATGCAGAGCTCAGGTCCAATTTCTGTCATTCAGGTCCGTTGCCTTGTGAACTTGATGGCAGTAAACATTTATGGTTTAAAGCCATGGGTTCTGTAGATGCAAATGGTACTGACTATATGTCAGAAAGATCTCGTTCTGTACCTCGTGCAGCAAAGATAGACACTAATTCTTCCAGAAGCATAAATCTAGAGGAGAAAAAACTAAATGCAACACCCGTTGTGTGTGCTGCAAATGAGGCTTGCAAAGGATCAGACCAAAAAGTAATCAAGGTTGCATCTGAAAATGTACGAAGCACTTCACCTTTTCGTCATTTTAGTTTCAGCATGGGTAAGACAGGCAAAATTTCCGGCCCCAACGAGGGTTCTATATCTCAGGTGAGCTCAACATGTAGTTCTGCCAAAACTGATTCAGAGAATCCTGTTGGTTCTTGTGTTGATACATGTTGTGGTGATAAACTCAATGCTAAAAGCAGAGCCAGGTCCAGCCCTTTGAGGAGACTATTAGACCCACTTCTGAAACAAAAGGAATTTAACGGTGGCAACCAGTTTCAGGACTCAGTTTTAACAAAAGGTGCCTGTAAATCATCAGAATGGCTAAGACATTCAACCGCAACTTTGCTGTCAGCGAAAGTGAAATCAAATACAATCAGCCATTGCACAATCAATGGAAATGATTCAGTACAGAACAAAAAGCATGGATCTTCAGCGGTTCAAGCTCTTCTCAGAGTTCAAATTAAGAATGGGTTGCCTCTGTTCACGTTCGCTGTTGATAATGAGAGTAGCATTCTTGCAGCTACAGTGAAGATGTTACGTGCCTCAGGGAAGGGTGATTATGGGTGCATTTACACATTCTTTGCCATTCAAGAAGTCAGGAAAAAGAATGGAAGGTGGATAAATCAAGGAGCGAAACGCAGAGGTCAGGATTATGTCCCTAATGTTGTTGCCCGGATGACGGTTTCTGGTTCTGAATTTTCTCATTTCTCCAGGCCAAACCATGTGGATCAATTTAGCATTAGAGAATTTGTTCTTTTTACCTTGGCTGTAGAGCAGGCAAATCTACACGCATCTGATTTCCAGCCAAATGATGAGCAGGCAGCTATTGTTGTCAGGATCCCAAAAAGGAACAGAAGTTCAATCAGAGATGGGTATTTGATTGATAAGCATAACAACTTGCCTGGGGCTGCATTGAAAGAGCATCTGCCAGAAGTAAAACTTGAATTCGATCATGGGAAAAAGGATCCTTTTATGGGTGGTCAAGACATTAGAGCTACAGTTATACTTCCAAGTGGTGTACATAGCCTTCCAAATAAAGGTGAACCTTCATCACTGATTCAACGATGGAAATCAGGTGGAGCATGTGACTGTGGTGGTTGGGATTTGGGTTGCAAACTTAGGATTCTTTCTAACAAGAGCCAAATCAGCCAGCGGTCTAGTTCATTGAAAGGTTCTTCAATTTCTAATCAATTTGAACTTTTCTATCAGGTATGATTGTGGATCTTACGCTAATCAAACTAAAATGTCCACTGTATTATATTGAAAATGTCAACTGAATTCTCTCTTTGTTTTAATTATAACTAACAGGGAGGATTGCAAGGCAGCAAGCCTTTTTTCAGCTTTGCCCTTTTAAAGGATGAGATCTATTCAGTTGAGTTCAATTCATGGCTTTCGCATATGCAAGCCTTTTCAATTTGTGTAGCAGTTTGGGATAGTAGGAAACAATGTGAACTTTCAGAACCAGTGACCTCTTCTGAAGAAGCAACCTTGGGGGAAACCATATTAAATGACAGAATAATTTCCCCTAATCCTTTGGAAGGAGAGCCTCCTGCTAGATATGTCTCGTATCCACCCCTTTCGCCGGTTGGAAGGGTCTAATTTCACACAATGAATGACGATGTAATTAAATGATAAAGATATAATTATATATTTCTGGTTTGTTGATTGGGTAATGCTAAGTGAGATATCTATCACCGGTGAGGGTCGCCAATGAAAAATAAGAACTAATGAACACGGCTTGTTGATAATAGCCAGGGACAGGTCCCCCTCGAGCTTTGGATCATTGTATTTTGATTTACTTTCGACAACAACAGAAGTGATATCGCCTGTTGTATGAGAAAATATTTTCATCAATGAAAGTTTGCATATAATCAATGGATGATATCTGCTTTTTCTCCTTACTCTTGAAACTCCACATGCTTGATGGTTATGGTGCATTTATAGATGTCCCAAGCAAACTCCCTAAGGACAGGGTAAGTTCTCCGATTTACAGAACAGTTATTGAGTATGTTTTAAGTTTCTGACAGTAGTAGGAGGGAAGAAGGTAAGTTTCATTTGTTGGGCCAATCCTTTTATTCCGGGCTATTCTATTTCTAGGCTTTGATATCTTAATTACAGAATTGGTATGGAGACTGATATCTTAAATACAGAATTGCCTGACCGATCAAGTGGATCCACAGCTCCACCTCTACTTCCATTAAGCGCTAGAAATAAGGATGGCAAGAACAAGGAAGAACACCAGATGTTACTAACTGGGAATTCTTTGGCATTTACAAGCTCAGTATGAAATATAAGCAAATACTTACGGTTTTATCCCGGTTGGTCTGAATCGTTTATCAGGTGTTACAAAGTAGAATTCCGTGTACAGAAATAGGTTATGAATGAATCACAAGATTCAAGAGGTACATTGATAAATGGCAATTAGATGTAATCACAAACTGAAGATAGCTTGGGGCTGTCACACGATTGGGCTTGTACACAAATTTCAAGCCTAAAAGCAATGCATTTTTATCTTTTTTACAAATACTGATAATCCTTGATGTAAATATCCCCTTTGAAATGGAATGGAATCGAAGTTTTTCAAATTGGATGCCAGCACTTCTGATTTATAGTATTCATCTGTTTCGTAGAGGCCATGGGAGAAAAAAAGTTCCAAGACAACTTTTCATTGTTCTTCTTCTTGAGAAAAAGTATGTGAGTGAGTTCAGGTAAATGGATAACTATAGAGACAGAGGGAGTAACAGAAGCCATTTATACACCGGATTGTCATATTCAAAGAAGAAAAAATAGTCCAATTTTCATCCAGGGAATTGATAAACCGATTGAGTTGTGCAGATTGGAAGCGAGAAAGCTGAAATTTTAAAGTACAGGACTTTGAAACTTTTGAGTACAGTGATAAGATTAGGGAGCATGTGATGGCTTTCTTTTTGGCAATAGGAGCTGGCATGAACCAATGATTCAATTGAATGATGCTACTTGTCTGATGTCCTACCATTGCCACCATCCTTCACAAATTGCCTATTTTTTTTTTTTTTTAACTTTGTAAATTCTTTTCTACAAGGATATAAAATTGGAGACAGCACTTGTTACATCACATGCTTGTCTTAGTTCCTTTCACCATCAAAGCTACTGTTCCCTGCCTTTGTTGCTTCAATCTTGGGTGCTGCCAGGACATCTTGTTTCCTGGCCCTGCCATTGTCATTTTTTTTATTCCTGAAGGTCAGAGTTTTGCAGTTGCATGCACTTTTCTTTCTGATCTGTTTTAGTGCAAGTGCAACCTGCAAAGCCTGTCATAAGGTGTTTCAATTTCAGTACATTTTACTGTTGAATTTAGCCAGTATCTAACAGGCACCAGAGATTAACAGTCCTTTCCCAAAAATATATAGAAACCAACAAATTTAAGCATTCTAGCCCTCAAAATTTCAAATACATTTTTAAAAAATTATAATAAATTTAATAAAATAAAAAAATTATATTTTATATTTTCGATATAAATTATAACATAATTTTTATATAAACATAATATTTTATACGATAGATAAGATAAGACGAATTATTAGATCTAAAGCATTCACCACTGCCCACAACCTAAGCAAATTTTGCTATGAGATTATGATTTCCCTTTCTAATTAAAATATTTAAGTGGTAATATGGCTACTAATTTAGGAACTAGAGTTTAATATACTTATTATTGCTTGAAGAATCAAAATTACTAATAATAGTATATGAAGAATCAAAATTACTAACAGTATATTAGGATTTAAAGCTCCTCTTTCCAGAATTATCCTATTTGAAAAAAACAATAAACATTTATAATCTTATAAACTAGTTGACAAAAATTCAAGATTCAAGCCTTCACAACTAAATGCCATTAGGCATTAATAAAGAAATAAAAGATATTAAACCCGATACTGAATCTAGTTAATTTATATAATCATTTTTAACAAATGATATCGACAAATTTAAAATTTAAATTTCAGCGCTAATTATCTTTTCTTTTATCTATGCATTATAAACTTTTTGTAAAAAAAAAAAAAGAAAAAAAGGGGGAAGACTTGGGTTCTTAGTCTAGGGGATAATTAAGGAAAACAATTCATGATCATGTAAATGAATCAATAGCAAATTGATTCTTTCTATGTTGGTATCCTAAGTAATAGTACACTTAAGCAATTTAACGTCCGAAAACCTTATATTTGTAGAAAAGCTATGCATTTTTTTTTCTCATATCCAATTTGGTTCTGTTCATTACTAATGTTGAACCAACCTCGTAAACAATGAAAGAGAAAAGATCTAAAGTTAAGCATATAAACGGGGAGGAGGACATTTTTCCTTTTGAACATGTTATATTCATTACTTAAGTGGTCCTATGAATCCAAGAAACCATTACCCTGTTGAGTACTGTTGAAAAAGTTGCCAAACAGATCCTAGTAAGGATCTTTTGTGTTTATGCTTAAATTTTAGCAAAAAAATTAATATTAAAACTTGGGTCGCTCCCCATGTGGCCTTTTTTTTTTTTATATAATTTAAATCATAGTATCTGTTGAATGTTGTTTTTAAAATAATTATATAAAATGATGAACTTAAATTTTAAATTCAAAATAAAATTTATATTTAGTTATCAAAAAGTTGTATTGTTTGCTTATTAAAAGACACTCATTTTTTCCCCTTAAAAGTAAGCTTTTAATAATTAAAACACAATTTGCAGAAGGGTTTCCTGCTGGCTGAATTTAGGCAAAAACATGGAAGTAGGTCCTTGAGCTCATCTCATTCCTTTCTATCCCTCCCCTTTTTATATCTTATCTTATAGCAAAGAATGAAAAGCACCAAAAATTTAGACTCCATGCTTTTATTGGAAGGAGCCAAAGTTCTATGTTATGTAATTGGGCCCTACTATGGCCTATACTCAATTCATTTTTGCTTCAAATTAAAGCACCGAAAAATATTTTTCTAATTAAAATTCTCACAATATTTTTTAAAATCCGATTTAATATCTCTTTATAAAAAATAATCATTAAAAAATATTCAATATTTTTAAAAAATATCAATAATTATTTTCACATAATTTATTAGCCAAATTAAAATATCTTAAATTTTACGTGAAACTAATATTTTTGGATGATTTTTTTAATATATTTTTCTCGTATTGATTTGATATATTTTTCAAATCCGATAATTTAATTAAAAATATCTATTAATTTTTAGAAAGTTGTAAAAAGGGAAAATGCAAAGTATATTGTATAATATTATTATATAGTAGAGAAATTAAGTCTAAAAATACCATCAATGATGAGGGGACCAACAAACCATATCACATGTTTACATCAAACATCATAGAAGGTAATGGAATTTCCAGCTTTTAATCCAAACAATTATTCGAACCAATTGTCACTCTGTAATTATTAAATCTTAAAAGAATTAATTAATTTTATCATTTTCGTTCCCTTTTATTTTATCACAGTATTATCACTTTTTTTTTTTTATAAAAAAAATTGAAACATAAAAATAAATAAAAATAATTATAAATATTAAAATTTAAATGTATTAAATATTATTTTTTATAAAAAAAAAATATATGTCTATTGTTTAATTTGAAAATTTTTCTCTTTGACTTTGACTCCCCTTATTACTGCATTCCCTCACTCTCCCTTGCCCTTAGATTTACCCACGCACATGACATTGTTCCCAATTTCTTTGGGTCGTGATATTCACGCAATTAATTAAAAGATTGGGTTAGGATAAGGAGAAAAATGGAGAATTTTTTACTTCAAAAAAAAAAAAAAGGAAAAAACGGAAGGAAACGAGAGAATGATGAGGTGGTGAAAAAAATGTGAAGGGGAAGAAGGAAGAAGAAGCCTTTGATCCAAAAAGTTAAAAGCTTTTGTTTATTTATTTTCTTTTACTTTCTTGCTTCCCAAACACTCCCCCTTCTCTTTTTAGTAGTAGCAGTAGCATTTTTCTTGGTCTCTTTCACTCCTCAAATTCCGTCTCCTACAAAGCTCAAAGCAAAGAAAAGCAAAAAAAACCAACTTTTTTTTTTATTCGAGTTGATATTTGAGGTTTAAAGCCAATGGGAGCTCGTTGCTCCAAACTATCACTTTGCTGGTGGCCGTCAAATCTCAAGTCAAACCTCCATGATTCCTCCGATCTCGGTTAGTTAGTTGACTTGTTTCCATCACTTTCTAGAGAAAATTTTACTATTTATTTTCTTTTGTTTCTCTTTGAAAGTTTTCTTTGGTTTGTTACATCAGAGAATGGGAAGGAAGCGTTGCCTGGATTCAGCGAGTACAGCTTGGACCAATTAAGAGCTGCCACGTCAGGATTCTGCAGGGACAACATTGTATCGGAACATGGAGAGAAAGCTCCCAATGTAGTTTACCGAGGGAAGCTGGACGAGGATCATTTCATCGCCGTTAAACGCTTCAATAGATCGGCTTGGCCTGATCCTCGACAGTTCCTAGTATACATTTACTTTTCCATTTTACTGCAATTTATTTTGATTTATTTTACTTGATTTGTAATTATTGAGTTTTTTTTTTTCTTTTTTTTTTTTGGGTTGTTTTAGGAGGAAGCGAGGGCTGTTGGACAGTTAAGAAGTGAGCGATTGGCGAATTTGATTGGTTGTTGCTGCGAAGGAGATGAGAGATTGTTAGTTGCTGAGTTTATGCCTAATGAGACTCTCTCTAAGCATCTTTTTCACTGTAATTGTCTCTTTTATCTTTAATGTTTTCCTATTTTTAATTCACATTTTAGTTCATATATATATCTATATATAATCCATAGTTTGATTTGATTGGAGTCTAGGAAATGAATAATGAATTGAAGTAGTTATATAGAATCTTCATTTTTTAAATATATAAAATGAATGTGGTGCTAATGAGTATCTTATTAATTATAAGATTTGTTTTGTATTTGGTTGAAATGGGGTAGGGGAGAATCAGCATATGAAATGGGCAATGAGGCTGAGAGTGGCTCTATATCTAGCGCAAGCGCTTGAATATTGCAGTAGTAGAGGGAGGGCGTTGTACCATGACCTTAATGCTTATAGAATCTTGTTTGATCAGGTAATTTTTAATCTTTATCATCCATATTTGAACCTATTACCTTACTGCAAGTGTTCACTTTGAAATTTGTAATTTATCTGCTATGGTGGATTACTTCTTGACAGGATGGTAGCCCCAGACTTTCTAGCTTTGGCCTTATGAAGAATAGCAGAGATGGAAAAAGTTATAGTACAAATTTGGCTTTCACCCCTCCAGAGTACCTAAGAACAGGTAATACTAAGAAACAGATAAAGTTTATGGAACTCTTGTACAGATTGCAACAGTTTGTCTATTATTTATGTGTGTGTGTGTGTATGTATGTATATATATATATATATATATATATATGTATGTATGTATGTATGTATATTGGGGGAAAGGGTATGTGAATTTTTGGCTTTGTGTATGTTAGGTTCTCATGCAACATACATTGCTGTCTCTTTAGTTGAGCTAATTTAGACACCATAACATGGCAGGAAGGGTTATACCAGAGAGTGTGGTTTACAGTTTTGGGACCCTATTGCTTGATCTTCTCAGCGGCAAGCATATTCCACCAAGCCATGTGAGTTTTTTTTTCTTGCCATAATCGTCATTAAGGTGGAAGTCTTGTCTGAGATCTTTTCTAATAGCAATTTAAGACATTATTCAAATTATGGATATCTGAACTGCATCTTAGGATGTCCTTAGGTCATAATTTAAATGCTTAAATGTTGGATGTTATCATCATGCAGGCACTTGACTTAATACGTGGAAAAAACTTTCTGATGCTAATGGACTCATGTCTGGAGGGTCATTTTTCAAATGATGATGGAACTGAATTGGTGCGGTTAGCTTCACGCTGTTTGCAATATGAACCTCGTGAGAGGCCAAATGTGAAGTCTCTTGTAACTGCTCTTACTCCACTTCAGAAAGAAACTGAGGTATGCTCACATTATTCCCCACTATCTTCTCTTCTTTCTTATCTCCAAATTTTATTGAGAAAGTCCATACCAAAATATTATTACCTCCAAAGTGAATCCAAGCTATACCTTGTTACTGCAAGTGATCTCTTTTAGATTTTGCCAACAATGGATTTGCTGTGGCAGATAAGACCCTCCTTTGTAATTTTGTATGCCAGTTACTTACTAGTTACTACTAGCTTGAGGCTTTATGATAGGGGTACAGAAGTGTAACTTTTCTTTAAAGTTCTGAAACACTGAGTGCTGAACTCAGTTTCAGTATTCTGCTATTCTTAATTATATGACTAGTTGAATTCCCTTTTCCCCTAAGATAGGTCTATGTTACTTTTTTACTTGTGTTATTTAACAGGTACCATCACATGTTTTGATGGGCATTCCACATGGAACTGCATTGCCAAATCAAACAATATTACTATCACCTCTAGGAGAAGCATGCTCAAGAATGGATCTTACTGCAATACATGAAATATTGGAGAAGGCTGGATACAAAGATGATGAGGGGATTGCAAATGAGGTCAGCAATCTATATTATATTGTTTCAAATCTGACTCAAAAAAAAAAAAATCAAATATCAAAAGAAGGTCTCAACTTATGCTTTGGTAGTATAGGACAAAAAAAAGGCTTTGGTAGCTGATAGCCTCATTGTTGCATTTACAAAAAATACTTATGAGTTAATAAGACATGAACTCCATGAAAATCATGTCTCTTATTGTCTTTATTGCTGACAGCTTCATCCTTCAAACCACTAGAAAAACAGAATTGCTTTAATCACTTTTTTGGCATTATTGACATCATCTAAGCAAACTTGTCACATGGATCCTCCTTTGAAAATTCTTTATGGTAACTGGAATTAATTTTTGCTGCTTTGTAGCTTTCTTTCCAAATGTGGACGGATCAAATACAGGAGACTCTGAATTCGAGAAAACGTGGAGATACTGCTTTCCGAGCAAAAGATTTTGGAACAGCCATTGAATGTTACACTCATGTAAGTCTTTTGTTTACAATTTGGCAATCTGGAAAACCATTTTATATTCTGCAATCAAAATCCTCAATACCTACCAATTAAGATTTTAACCCTTTTTATACTTGATGGTTTAATAATTTGCCTTGTGTATAGTTCATCGATGGTGGGACGATGGTATCACCAATTGTGTTTGCTAGACGCTGCTTGTGCTACTTGATGAATAACATGCCACAAGAAGCCCTCGGGGACGCTATGCAAGCCCAGGTTATATCTCCCGAGTGGTCAACAGCATTCTATCTCCAAGCTGCTGCTTTGTTTAACCTTGGGATGGAGAACGATGCGCAGGAAACCCTCAATGACGGCACAAACTTGGAAGCCAAAAAACATAGAAACTGATAGTGTATAGGCACCCTTTTTTCCTTTCACCTTTTTTAAACATCCCTTTTATCTTCCTGTCTTATTTTTATGTTTCCTCAGCACCACAGAGTAATTGTAACGTTTAATATTCTGATTCGAGTCGTGAAAACAGCCTCTTGCAAAAATACAAGGAAAGATTGCATGTGATGGATCCTTCTCCAGACTCGCACATAGCGGGAGCACTTTACGCATCGGGCTGCCCTTTTTATATTTTAAGATGATAACATGAATAAATTTTTCATTTTTGAGTTTGATATCAAGGATATATGCCCGTATTCGCAATTTTATTTTTTGAATTTACAGCTCCAATCCAGATAAATTGCTAAAAGCCATTCTAATTTCATAAGTGACCAAGAATCTCCTCCATTATCCAAACCAATGAGGTAGCAAACAAAGCTGTACTTCATGTAGTAAAATTCTTTAAAAATAGTGCATAAGAGTCAAATGGAACTTCTGATTTAGCACCAAAATCTTTACAGTATTGCAACTAATAGAAAACTGACAGAAACATTGCATCATAACAAAATGTAGTCTCAGAAGACATTAAAGACATGTTATACTTAATTCCCATCTCCTTTCCCAGCAGCAGGACTAGTCATGCTTTACATGTAAAACAGAATTTAGAATATGGAGGATGGCAGTGTTTTACATCGGAGGCCGACCACCAGCACTGAGCATCTGGCCAATTATACCATTCACCTAGAAAATAAGAAAGGTGCATGTATAAGAACCAAATGCCAGCCATCAAATAAGAAACAAAATGCAAAGATGAAAGACATCTAAAGGAAAACCAATCATAGGTATTAGAAACAAGAAAGTTCGATTCAAACAGGAAAGCTGAAAAATATAAGTTTTTGCGGCCAGCCTGTAGCCTTGTATTATTACCATACAAATGTTTTGTATATAACCTTAAGCATAAAACCAGAGAATGCAGTCATATAAAATTAGTATAAGACGTGCTTACAGCTTTAATATAACACAACTTAAAATATTTATGAATACTTTGAAACCTAAGCCTACCTGCCAATACTTTGAAACACAGCGATCAATGCAAGTATTTTCACCCATGTTTAGCTCAGGCTCCTTGTACCTAAAGCAGAAAGATATTATGATCGACACCGTTTCTTTAGGGAAAAAAGAAACTGCATATCATGTCACTTAAATAGGTTGACAGAAACAATAGGAATGGGGCTTCTCATACCTTTTGTCAACGCACTTGTTGAAACACGTTTGTGTAAGCCTGAATGAAAATCATCAAAAACAAGCTCAACTCAAGGCAGATATATTGTGTATACAGCAAGTTTAAGAGGTGAAACATAATTCACATGTGGTTCTGATGGTAATCTTGACATTTTTCACTAACTTCTAGTTCAAATATATTCATTAACATTATGCAATTCTATCTTACCTGTTAAAGAGTTCTACCCTATATTCCATCTCTGCTTCCGCCATGCCAAAGGCCTGCGAAGTGTTCAAAACATAAACTTCGAATCACCAAGAGAGTGGTAAAAGACAAGGATGAATACAATTACAATCTTTTCAACCAACCCCAAAATCAGATTAAATCTCAAAAACCATTTCCAATCAATTCATAACAAACACCTTAATCCATTGACTCTAGAGACCCAATTTTACTTAAGCACTCTAAATTCAATAAATCAAAAAGCCAAATTAATCAGTTGAAAAGATCAAGTTTTTCTTCAATCCCATAGATTGAACTAAGGGAATCAAATAGAAATAGCTAACCTGTTCTTTGTCTATTCCAGCTGGGGTGTTGTTGGCAGCCATGGGATCTTAAGCAACAAACAAGATCGATCAAAAATTAAACCAGAAATGTCACGGAAAACATTTAATCACTATTAGCAAAATGGGTTTTATAAAGTCTTACCTAGAGAAAAGCTCTTTTATTGAAAGGGTTTAAGGATTTGCCGAAAACAACAAAAATGCAGAAAAGAACTTTTTAGTAAGTTCCTAATATATGAATTAGGGATTTAGGGTAAACCTTAAACCCTGAATAGTAACACGCCACGTAATAAAAAAACCATCCCTTGCTTCAAGGTCTAAATTTGTAATTTGAGAAATGCCTTCTTTTCTCGGTTCCCTTTTTTTTCTTCAAAGAAAAAAAATTTGTTATTTGTTCAAGCTGTAGGGTTTTGCAGACAGACTACTGAGGTAAGTCAGATTTTCTGCTTCTCCTTTTCTTTTGATTTCTCCCTTGTTATGTTTTTTTTCCATGATTATTGAGGTTAAAATCATGGTCTTTTGGTGATTTAGAATTTGGTTGAAGAAATAATGGAACACGGGTCCTTCACTGATAACAGTGCTGCAACGTTTTCCTTAACAGAGGAGGATCATACTCTAGCTAATGCTCTTAGATTCACCTTGAATCAAGAGTCAGTTTAATCTCGTTTTTTTTTTTTTTTCCATTTTATTAATCATTATTGCTAGAGTAATGTTGGGTATTCTTTCTTTGAAGGATTTTGGGTTGATTTGTTTGAAACTGATGCAGCCCAAGGGTAACATTTTGTGGCTACAGTATCCCTCATCCTTCGGATGCTCGAGTTAATATTAGAGTTCAGACAACTGGTAACTCAATACTAGCTCTCTTCTTTCAAGCTAAACTGGTTCATGGTTCATGATTAGCTGTTTTGACAATTTCTGACATGTTATTTGAGAAGTGTGGATTTGCTACTGGTTTCTTCCTTTGTCATCAAGCAAGTTGTTTTCCAAGTACTCTATTTGGTTTGTTTGATTCATTTGTCTGCCTTATGATTTCTGAATATCAGTGTGTTTTATGGAGCAACATTTTTGTGTTGGGTTCAAATTTGTTGTGTTTTGTAAACATCAAAGTTCTCTGCCGTTAGTTGGCTATTAACTGATTGACGTTAGGAATATTATTCATGGATTTTGCCTTCAAGCCCCTCCCACAATTTTGGGTTTCCTTTCCTCCATTGACATCTTTAGCACATTGTTCTGTTTCTCTGATGAATTTGATCTTCAATGTTGTCCTGCTGTGAAGATTTTGTTTATGTATGAAATTTGCAGGTGATCCGGCAAGAGAGGTATTGAAAGATGCATGTCAGGATCTGATGCTGATGTGCAAGCATGTAAGGAGCACTTTTGACAAGGCTGTTGAAGATTTTAAAGCAAGCAATGCTGTGAAGGCCATGAATATTGGTTCCCAAGACAGTGATTCAGAAGACAGTGAATGAAATTTGTATCTTTCCATTATCGTCTTTGAGATCTTTGTTTAAACTATCATGTCCTCAAGATATCATTATCTCCCTATAAAGTAGTGCTTTTGTTATCTTATTGAAGCTGTCATTTCTTCATCTTGCCTAGGATTAACTATTCTAAAATAGATCGAAACTGTCATTCTGCAACCAAGACAAACCAAAAAGACATTAAAACCCTACATCAACATGTCTATCCGAAACTTTTTATATGATACCACCCTTCAATGCCATGTCTTCTGTCATTTACACTGTAGGTTTCCGAGGATGAGAAACTAACTTGGTAAAATTGCCAGATCAGGTGATGTTTAAGACCATTCAACGGTTCATGGTTTGTCAATAGTCATCAAAACCAAGTAAAAGACATGCACAAGTGTCAAAACAGACAACAAAGCAGAATGCCACTTCAAACAAAGGAAAACTTTTAAACCAATGTAACTCTTTGACAGAACTTTTAGTTCTGACTACAGATTTCTTATTTCTGCCAGTAAAAAATGAGTAGTTTTAAAGCATAGATAGTACATGAAAGCTCAAGTGCATCCAGAAATGAATTGTAAAGCACACTACCACATCTCGAAATAATTATCTGCCTAAGGAATGCAAAGAAATGAGCTGTGGGCAATGCAATAGCATGCAACTAGCATCCAGAAATTAGGGCAATGCATCAAGCTACTTGAGCTTCAGGCTTTGGGGCATTTTCTGTTGGTTTCATCAAGCTCGGAGTGGTTTCTCCTGGTTTTGACAAATGTCGAATGTATCTCCAACAGCGCTTGTGAATTCCACTTGTTTTCTTGGGAGCATCTGCAGCTGGCAAGCCAGCATTAGACGTCAAAAACATTAACTCAACCATCGTATAACACATAATAGCAGATAGAGAAATCTAATCAAATGGTTGAAAGTGTTACATGCAGAAATAACATCTATTATTCCTGAGTTATCATCACAGTAGGAAAACTAATTCAAGGATTATCCACTTCTTCTACCATGGGTGTAGAACATTGCATATGCTCCACCAGAATCAAATATAACAATACACAGTATGATAAGGCATTCAATCTCCTTGTGCACATTTGCGTGCATTTAACACTTGTGTGCATTTATAACCATAAACAAACAGAGAGACTTAAGCAAACTTATATTTCAGGTCATATAATTTGTAAAAGACTAAGACTGTAATCTATGCTTAACTGATTCCAGACAAGCTATACTACTTCCCACCTTTCTACATCGATATTAAGATTGCCTCACTAAAGCAATCATTAGGTTTAAGGGAAAAGGGAACCATATAATTGACTTCTTCTAATCTAAGACAATATCTGCCGCAACGTTTGAGTTTCAATAACTTCTTGTTTTTTACCGGATAGTGCCCTTTAAGTACACAAGTGTGCATTCATTTTCCAAAACCTATAAAATCTTTCTGGAACACCCTGAAGTCATTCTTGATGTGTTTAACATTATTTAGCTCACTGCTTCGCTCTCTCTTCTCCTAGCAAATCAGTATGCATTACTTTTCACTATTGGCTGCTCCTAACTCAGAAAACATCAGCATTTCCCACCACACCAGAGATCAGGAGTGTCAAGGGGAATATACTTTATACAATGCCACATTTGAAAAAGCCAAAATAAAGCATGAGACTTGACAAGAAAATTAGAAGCTCATAGACAACTCTAGTTTAGGATGCATTGAGGATGAGACTAGACAAGAAAAAACCAATAATCCTCTCACCAAAACAATGAGCAGAACAATACAAAAAGCTATCCTAACCAACATCTCAGGCCATCTAGGAAAATAAACTTCTCCCCCGTTGTGATAATTAGAACAAATGAATTACTCACCGTCTTTGTGAACAACCCCCCATGCCTTGCCATGCCTTGCCATGCCTCGCCATGCCTTCCATCCTGCAAACAATCTCAAACCTCATAAACTCTAAAACCCTTAAACCCTAAGAACATAACCAAAATTAACGAAAATTGCATGATCTACTAAATCCCCAAAATTTTCATGAATAAATTAATCGAAAAAGAGAGAGGAAAACAAATCAAAGATTAAAAACCAACACAGTTTGCTCGTAAGACCGAATACAACCATATAACTCCATCAACTCTTCACATTTCTCAGTAAACGGAAAGAACCCATTATTTCAATATCAATTTTCTTGAAATAAAAGAATCCAAAAGAAACCAACCCAAAAAAAAAAAAAATCATTTTCTTTTCTTTTTTTTTTTTTTTGACTGAGAGAGATGGAGAAAGAGAGGACCTTGTAAAGATTGATCTTGGTGATCTGATAAGAAACATCAGTCCAATGAGTTTTGGCCATGTGGGTAACCAAGCCCCCAGTTGGGTAAGAACTGAGCTACCTCGAACAGGTTCTTCCTTTTTCTCTTGGGCTTTTTGGAAGCTGAAGAGGAGGCGCCAGGGTTTTGAGTAGAAGTTGCAGTCGAGAGGTTTCTCAAGAAGTTGAATGAGAGCCTCCATAACCCAATAGTTGAGTAGAAGCCGCTCTGTTTGCGATTGTTGTCGCCATTTTTGGTTTTGCTTTTGTTTCCCTCCTTTCCTCTATTAAGTGTAAAAACGGGTTGGAGAGGGAGAACAGCATTAAACGCTGTCGTTTTGATGCGTTTCTTTGAAAAGTATTTTCCTTAATTTTGTAAAAAAGAAACAAAAAGTAACAAATCGGAATTAAATGCTCTGTTTTTTGGAGAGAAGTGGCTGGTTTGAATGCTCTGTTTTTGCAGTGGAATACTAAAAACTAGATTTTCTGGCAGACATGACGTTGAATAAAATTTTGGTCTTAATCAACTCATTCAAAAATTTTTCTTTTGTTAATAAAAAAAATCAAGGTGGGTGCGATATCAAATAACAATATAGAGCGAATGCAACAAAAAGTTTACTTGGAAACTTAAACAAGGTGATAACATAGTTCTTCAGCTTGCTTTGCTAAGATAGCAGCAGAAGGTATAAAGCAAAGCATGAAAAACACAAGAAAACAACACATCTTAATAACTAGTTCCTTTCACATTTGAAAAGAAAACAGCAACTGGAAGTTGAGATTTAACAGCCTAGTCCTCGTATTCTGCTTCCTCTTCCTCGTACTCTTCTTCAGCAGTTGCATCTTGGTACTGCTGATACTCTGAGACCAGATCATTCATGTTGCTCTCTGCCTCAGTAAACTCCATCTCATCCATGCCTTCACCTGTATACCAATGCAAGAAGGCCTTCCTCCTGAACATAGCTGTAAACTGCTCACTCACACGCCTAAACATCTCCTGAATGGATGTTGAATTGCCAATAAATGTTGCCGCCAGCCTGAGGCCAGTGGGTGGGATGTCACAAACTGTTGACTTAACATTGTTAGGAATCCACTCAACAAAGTAGGATGAGTTCTTGTTCTGAACATTCAACATCTGCTCATCCACTTCCTTGGTGCTCATTTTACCACGGAACATAGCTGATGCAGTCAAGTAACGGCCATGTCGTGGATCAGCTGCACACATCATGTTCTTTGCATCCCACATTTGCTGAGTGAGCTCAGGAACTGTTAGAGCTCGGTACTGTTGGGATCCCCTTGAAGTGAGTGGAGCAAAACCCACCATAAAAAAGTGAAGCCGAGGAAATGGGATGAGATTCACAGCAAGTTTCCTAAGATCAGAGTTGAGCTGGCCAGGGAACCTTAAGCAGCATGTAACTCCAGACATTGTTGCAGAAATCAAATGATTCAGATCACCAACTGTCATATAGCAAAAAGAAAATCACAAAGATGTAAGATAATTGAAGATCCTCAAGCCCAAAAAAAAAAAAATTCTTAGTTCTTACTAACTTGATATTAGCCTTTTTGCAATTACAAACCAGTTTATCTAGTAAAAGCCCACAACAGCACAGAATGATCATTATTAAAGTTTGAGAGAATGGCGATTGTGATAAGCCATTACCAGTCCAAAAAGATATTTGTTCAAATTACACCAAACAACAAAAGGCTTATTTTCCATACCTTAGCTACTACATTAGAACTAGTACATCAAACTCTAATCAGCAATCCAATGCAAAACAATGGCTATGTTGATAGTATAAACTAGGTATAAATCTGGGGAATACTTACAGCTGGGAGTGGTGAGCTTAAGTGTCCGGAAACAAATGTCATACAAGGCTTCATTGTCAAGAACCATACACTCATCAGCATTTTCAACCAACTGATGAACAGATAAAGTAGCATTGTAGGGCTCCACGACTGTATCAGAGACCTTAGGAGATGGGAAAACTGAGAAAGTTAACATCATCCTATCTGGGTATTCCTCCCTTATCTTCGAGATCAAAAGTGTTCCCATTCCAGATCCAGTTCCTCCTCCCAAAGAATGACAAACCTGAAACCCTACCAAAAAGAAAAGAGGAAAAAAAAAAAACCATGATCAGCTAACAGCAGTTATTATACAAGCAGGCAGAACTTAAACAAGTTTGGTTAGATCTATTTTGTCAGCACACTTACCTTGAAGACAATCGCAGTTTTCAGCCTCTTTTCGGACAACATCAAGGACAGAGTCGATTAACTCAGCACCTTCAGTGTAATGGCCTTTAGCCCAGTTGTTACCAGCACCGGACTGACCAAAAACAAAGTTGTCAGGTCTGAAGATCTGGCCAACAGGACCGGATCTAATGCTGTCCATGGTTCCAGGCTCAAGGTCCATGAGAACGGCACGAGGGACGTATCTACCACAACTGGCTTCATTGTAGTAGACATTGATTCTGTCAAGTTGAAGATCCAAGTCTCCTTGGTAACGGCCAGTTGCATCAATGCCGTGCTCTGCACATACAACTTCCCAGAACTTGGCTCCAATTTGGTTGCCGCATTGGCCACCTTGAATATGAAGGATTTCACGCATTGTGTATGGGTTAGTGAGGGTTCTTTGGGTTTGGGTTGGAGAAGAGGAAGAGAATGGAGAGAGATTGCAGTTGGAATTGGAGGAGGTGAAATGAAAATGGGGGAGATGGAGGCTTATGTTATTATTATTTTTATAAACAAATGGTTTTCAGTTTACGAGGGAGCCTGGCTGCTGGCTGCCACGTGTTTTGTAACGGTTGGAAAAACGCAACGGCTACAACTGAGTTGTAAAAAAAATTCAAAAAATTTTGAAATTCAAAAATTGCAGAAACAGCTGGATGCGATTGTCTGCTAGGTGAATAAAACTGCTGGCAACTGCATGTTACCGGTTACACTAACATCGAGTCCTATTCTTTTTTGGGGGTTTATTTATTTATTTACATACATATTTCTATAATACTGTTTTCTTTTAGTTTTTCAATAAGTAATACTATTTTTATAATATAATAATTCGATTAAATAATATTTAATGAATAAAATTATAAATAAAATAATATGATAATTATTTTATATTTAATTAAAAAAATAAAATTATAAAAAATTTATTATTTTTTTGATATAAAATAATTCAATTATCTCAAAATAAAAAAATTATTTTTAATTCATGAAATTAAATTTATATATCTCATTATACTTTTAAAAATTACATCATTAATTTAAATTATATAAATTAAAAAAAAAGATAATTTTGACCATTTTCGCTTCACAAGGATCGATGGCTTCGTTTTTGATACACGGAAGTGAAGTGAAATCACAAGAACCCATCTTACGTAAACAACCTTAGGCTTCCACTTGTATAACAATCAGCTCCCTTAATTCTCTACAACACAGTCAAAACACTTAAAAAACAGGTGTTATTAGCAGTTATTCAACACTTCAAAGGCATATCTTCTGCAACATTGAAATGCATAAGCCATCATTTGCCCTGCAAATACGTTGTTCTTGTATGTAACAGGCTTCTTTGTTACCCTTCCCAAGGTTCTGATGCTACGGTCACAAGACAACAGCTCTTGTAGATTGCATCACCGATTAAGACTTGTGCAGCTTCCTTGAGTGCATAAAAGATAACCCTTAGCCATTGCTTTAACTAGAACCAAATTGGTGAATTCCACACTAACACAGATGAAAGATTTTGTCTTGCATACCATACTACCTAAGATGGCTTCCCAGTTTGAGCTTCACACTCTGCTAACTTCAAGAAAGTTACATCAATATAATAACAAACTGACAGGTGAAAGCCTTAAGATCTTAAAATAGAAAAGGAGAACAAACAAGCAAAAAGAGGAATCATTGTTGTTGCAGATTCAACCACATAATGATCAAGAATAAAATCACAAACCTGGTCAGAAACACAATGAAAGAAGTGGGGTTTGCAGCACAGAATTGCCATCCAACATTGAAAAGGAGGTGCCTAGCTTCAAAGAAGTAGAAATTTTACACATACGGAAGAATTCTGAAGCATTAAGCATTTACCAAAGGATTCATGATGCAAATTCAACCAAAGTTAAAATCAGAGGGAAACAAAACCAATTGCTTAACTTTAATCCTGCCAATCATCATTTGTGTAACACTTTGATCATAGAACTAGTATTATGAGTGTTAAAGCACCAAAGTTTTAAACTTGAAAATTCACCTTGGAATGATTTAGACAGGAAACAAACATCCTACAATATCATTAAGTGTTATAAAGGATCGAAAACTACAACTATATTCTTGAACTATAGCAATTTGAGCTTATGAGAACTTGAATGTTAAAGGCCTGTAAAGTTAAAAGGAATGAGGTAATGTCAAAACTAAAATTTAGGGGTACTCAACAGCCTAGCTCAATCCGAGTATTCAACAAAAGGGGCTTTGTTCCAAACTGTCCTAAACTGATGCCATGCAGTTGGCAAAGAATTCTAACTTGCATTTTCACTTGTTAAATAAAAGAAAAACAAGTGTAAACCATCGCGGTTAAGAGGCGTTTAGCAGCGGTAATTACATATTTTCACTACCATGCAAGTTGGAAGGTGCTATCTGTTTTTTACACGTGTCCCTTCTTTTGTGAAACTTCAATGAACTTTCCAGGACTTTCACCGTTTATCAGCTTATGGGAGAACAAGACGGATGAAGAACCCGATCGTAAGAGGCCCACAAGGAATCCAGCGGACAAGGTCTTTGAGAGTCGATTCTAAGCCAAGCCTTTCCCTTACCTCTCCAATGCAACAAGCTAACCGGACCGGGGTGTAGTGACCCACATAAGCCTTCCAAGTTGTCCCCACCGATTCCAAGTTGTCCCCACCGGTGATCCAACCCCTCCACGTCACCGGCGAAAACTAACAAAAATGGAGACAAAGAACCAAGCTCGTAAATACGGTGCCGTTTCTGAATCCTCAACCAGTTTTCTAGTTTCTCTGTGTATTTCCCTTCTCTCCATTTCCATAAATCGATTACCATAACCCCAGTGTTGAAATAACAAGGGATCCGTGATCTTCCCTCAAACGACGCCGTAAATACCGGGTTGGACCAGAATTTCGAGAAGTTGGCGTGGCACTGCTCCGGCGCTCCCAACACGTGACTTCCTAAATTGACGCTCCATAGCTTAATGACGTCATCGACGACAATGAGGTCAGAGTCAAAGTAGATGATACGCCTGACACCATCTGGCAGCAGATCAGCTAAGTACATACGCGCGTAACTCAACGGTTTGTCCAACGCGAGTCCGATAGAAGACGAGATCTTTTCGTTTACCGGATCAGTGTCGAAGTGGTAGAAGTGGAAGTTAAGATAAGGGAACGTGGCGGTAACGGCGCGCGTGAGTTCAGCGCCCTGTCGTTGTGTGGTGACGAAATGGAAGACGATGTTTTCGGGACAAGTAGCATGGATGAGAACGGAGAAGACTCCGGCGATGGAGCCCCGGAGGTAAGCGGTGTCTAAGGTCATGGCAATGTGGATAACGGAAGGGATGTGAGTTTTGTTGTCGAGGGATGACCATGTTGTTTTGGGACATTCTCTGTCGTTTCGAAATGCCGGCGCTTCTCGAAAAGAAGGTAACTCCGCGAAGCAGATATTGATCGCGACCGTCAAAATTAAAAAGAGATTGCAAGGTTTAGACGGAGGCATGGTGAGGGAGGAAATGAAGGAGAGTGATCTGAGAGAGTTATGGGAGAGAGATGAGGAAGAATTTAGGGATTTGTTTTTTTGGGGGGGGGGGGGGGGGGGGGGGTTAATTGAGGGTATTTCCGGAACTTTGGTTCTGATTCCGATGTGGATGGGTGGGGCCCAGCTCGGGACAAGACCAGGCTGGCAAGCTGCGACCTTTGTCTGCCGACTACTCGTGAAAGAGCGGGGAAGGGGTTAGGGGAGTGTTCTTATGGTTCTGATTGCACCATACGAAGTGGTGGAACCGTACATTCGGCAATTACGGTCATTATTTTTAATCTTACACTAAAATTATTTAAAATCAAGCGGACATGACTTTCTTTTTACATGGGATGTGACCAAGAATTAGAAATAGAGAATTATCTGTCCTTTGCCAGGTCTGCTGTAGGATTGCGTAGAAAGCTAACCAGAACGAGTCAATTTATGTCTCATAAGATGGGAGCAATATGATTTGAACACCAATCAGCTGTTTGATTTTGTCCGTGCTCGGATCTGCATTTTCATGTATCTTATTTCAAAGTAATCTCGATATGTCCAGCTCAGGATGCATTTTTGGACAGTTCTTAAAATGGTCAAACATGAAGACTTTTAGTTAATTGGAGAGCTGCCATGTCCTTATCTAAAAATGAACTAGCGCACCAATTCAAGGAGAACAGTATAGAATTTAACTCAATTATTTATGTAATTATTTTTATAAAATAATATTTAATAAATTTAAAATTATCATAAAACAAAGATGTCATAATAAATGTTAAGATAAGATTTGATACAGGATTAAAAGTGTAGCTAATATGTTAATGTTTATGATTTATTTATATTTGATTTGCATAAAATTTAAATTTAATTTGTTCATTAAAATTTTAATATTTTTTATTATTTTATTTATATATTAATTTAAATTTAAATATATAATTAAATTTAAAATAAAATAAAAGAATTAAATTTATTTTTATTAAATGAATTTAATCTAATAAATTTAAATAATTTAATTTTTATTTCAAGTTAAATCTAAATTTAAAATTTAAAATTCGATCGAATTAAAATAAAATTTTAAGTAATAAATTTTAAATTAAATTCACATTTTTTATCTTATTAATTTTGTTCGACTCGATATACCCTAACTAGAACCATGGATGATGGTAATTTGTTTTTGAATAAAGTTTTCCATTGCTTCTCATTTGATCTTTATCATCTCAAGTGTGAAATGGACCCGCCAGCAGGTGTCTCTGGTTGTTATTTTTAGGCTGGAAATCACGATTTCTCTCTCAGGCATTTAAACCGTGAAAGTTTATGTTATTGGTTAATGGTTTGAGATCGGGTGGGGGCTTTGGCACCTATGCTGTCGGTTTGCAAATGCATCAACTTTCCATTTATGGAAAGGAATTTTCATCCGATTCATCAATATAAGAAAAGATATTGAAAATTACCAAAAAAAAAAAGAAAACGAAAACTATAGAGAACGGAATTCCTATAAAAGGGCTGATTACTAGGTTAAAAAAAAACTTTAGAATTGATCACAAATCAAAATTTTTTTATTGTTAAATTAAAATTTGAATTCTCTATTTATTGAACTTGCAATTTCATAATAAATTAAATTAAAATTTTTAATGTTTATTTTTATAAAAAAAAATTTAATATATTAACAGTGAAATTTTTTAATTTCATAAATTGAATTAAAATAAAGATCATATATTATCATTTTATTTTTATTTGTGAAATTAAAAATTTTTAATATTAGTATTTTTAATAATTTATTTATTTTTTAATTATTTTAAAAAATTTATTATTGCATCAACCAAAAAGGGTACTGATAGTCATCATTATAAAAACCGAAAAAGGATTTGACTTGGTTAAATTAACAGAACTTGTTCTCCTAAAGCAGAGGAAAATATCCGAAATTGAGGTCCACAGATAAAAATAAATAAATAAAATAGAAATTCTCACGTTAACCAGTTTCACACCTCGCAGCACGGACATTCTGTGCACCTTAACAGTTGCCAGCAGATAAATTCCAAAACTAAAGTTGGAAACTCGCGACGCCGTAACGAATAACAGCATCATCACTGCCTTCCCTTCAAAGCAAACAGTTTAAGTTTCCTTAGTTTGACTCCTTTAAGAATCGTAGCCTCCCAACAGCTCCCTCTCTCTATCTTTATACCTGCAGAATATCAGAAGAAGCTGAGATAGATCTGTACATTCAATAGAAAGGTAGAGATTTTTCCTTTTTTCGAAGTGTGGGTATCATTTAATCGCTTAGAACTTCTTGATTCTTGTACTAGAAAGTTATTATCAATTTCATGTTAATGGGTTTTCTTCGAAAATTGTTTTGATGTGGTCTATGGTAGGTGCTTTCGATTGTTGATTGTTGCTTATTCAACCTGCTAAGTTGGAGAATAGATAATTGTTTTTATTAGGTAATTTAGTTATTTGGGGTTTGATTTATTGGTTGAAATGATGATGTCAATGATCAACAAGGTTTTAGTTTTGATGTTGGTTTTTGACATAATGACAAGTTTTTATATTAAGAATTAAAGGGGATAGGAAAAGGGGGCACAAAATCATGAATTAAAGCAGTTTTTGGATCATGCAAGTTATTGTTATATATTTATTCATTTCTGGTGTCTTCAGCTTGATTAATGGAACTTTGTTGGTGTTATGCATGTGCTTATACTAATTCCAGACAAATACAATTCACAATGACTATAATTTCGACTCAGGCTTGTTTTTCCATTAAATATGCTTTGACATGTTATTTTCTTTGATGTAGAAAAATGAACTAATTGCTGCTTGGTGTACTTGTCGATTCATGATGGAGTTACTTGGTTCAATTGGCTGTTATTGTCGGAATCCTTTGAGAACTATTTGGTTGTGGATATCTCTGGTACTTGTGCTGCAATATAGTAAAACAGGACTCTCAGATTCCACTTATTTAATTGGGCTTGGAAGCTATGACATTACCGGACCTGCAGCCGATGTTAATATGATGGGATATGCTAACACAGAACAAATTGCTTCGGGGATTCACTTCAGGCTGCGAGCTCGCTCATTTATTGTGGCAGAGCCACAGGGGAAAAGAGTAGTATTTGTTAATCTCGATGCTTGCATGGCTTCACAATTAGTGACAATTAAAGTGCTCGAGAGATTGAAAGCAAGGTATCTATTACACAGCATGTTATGAGTGGAGATCTGCTTTGTTTTTAATACATGAAAGTTAAATCCTGATTGAAGTTTATGCGATTATCTCTTTGAAGTAAGTAATATGTTCATCCCAAAAGCAGAACTTACTTAGGTGTAAAACTCATTCAGCATGATCTTTTGAAGTTAAGATATAGTTTTTTTTTTTTTTGTATCCACGTAGAGTAAGACAAAACCAAAGACACTAATGAGTTTGAAATAGACAAAATTGGATACTTGTTCAAATGGATTTTGGTTTGATATGCATTTTGTGAAGGTATTTTAACTTTTGCCTTGTCTATGCTTATATAACTACTTCTTATACTTGCAGATATGGGGACTTATATACCGAACAGAATGTTGCTATCAGTGGTATTCATACCCATGCTGGTCCTGGGGGTTATCTCCAATATGTGGTGTATCTCGTGACATCTCTTGGATTTGTTCGTCAGTCATTTGATGTCCTGGTAGATGGCATAGAGAAAAGTATTGTACAAGCTCATGAAAATCTTCGACCTGGATCTATTTTTGTGAACAAGGGTAAGGAACAAGAAATATTCAATTTCTACATTCTATTCTTATATTTTAGATGTTATCAATCTTGTTGAGCAGAAATAATATGAAGGGAAAATCTTCCTTGATTCTTCTGAACTCTGCTCTCAGGTCTAAAGTTTTTGTGAAATTATTGCACATACTTGACTTTTTACCTTGGTTTTATCTTGCTGTGCATTCGACTCTGTTTTGTTATATTGGAGGCGTATGCAATTATTTGTGCTCAAAGAATCTGGGTTTCAACAGGAGAACTATTAGATGCTGGTGTAAACCGTAGTCCCAGTGCCTATCTCAATAACCCTGCATCACAGCGGAGCAAATATAAATATGATGTTGATAAAGAAATGACCCTTTTAAAGTTTGTAGACGACCAGTGGGGTCCAGTGGGTAGCTTCAACTGGTTTGCTACTCATGGAACATCAATGAGTCGTACAAACTCACTGATTAGTGGGGATAACAAGGGTGCAGCAGCACGATTTATGGAAGACTGGTTTGAGCAGAATGGCACTAAAAGTTCAGATATTAATGAATTAGGCACTGATGGAATACCTAGAAGAGTCTCAAACATCATCCCCCACATTCATGCTAACCGTAAGTTTTTAGCTTTCAATTTTAATCACTTTGCATTAATTTGAAAAATATGTACAAAATGCTATTGGAAAAATAACATCATTAACAGATATTATTTTTAGTCTATAACAGATCCATGATATGTAGTTCAAACTCCTTGATGTGCTGGGTCCATACAATACTTCTTTTAATATCTTTTTGATGTAGACCATGAGTTGCTGGAGCTTGCTGCATCCTTCCAGTCTTCTCCTGGTAGGCCTGCAACCAGGATTCTGAGTGTTGCTAGACGTGTCAGAGGTGCTCTTAGACAAGCTGATAAGCCTGGATTTGTGTCTGCATTTTGCCAAACAAATTGTGGCGATGTTAGTCCCAATGTACTTGGAGCATTTTGCATTGACACTGGTCTTCCTTGTGACTTCAATCATAGTACCTGTGGTGGAAAGAATGAACTGTGCTATGGCCGAGGACCAGGGTGCTAACCTCTTCCTGCTATGCCCTTTTTTCTTATGTAGTACATATATATTGTGTTAGAAGACTGAAATGCATTTTATGCTTCACTTGGCAGCTATCCTGATGAATTTGAAAGTACACGTATTATTGGAGAGAGGCAATTCAGAAAAGCTGTGGATCTGTTTGACAAAGCATCAGAGAAATTAAAAGGAAAGGTTGACTATCGCCACACTTACCTAGACTTTTCCCAGCTTGAGGTAAC